GTCAGTAGTAGTCCAAATTCAATAGAAACATTTGTTTCTTGAAAATTTGATCACGATTTAAATACAGTATTTATTTTTAATATTACCGATATGTCATCGCAAAGAAAACGTCTTGTATTATCATTAAAAGACAAAGTATTTGTTTCGATTATCCGAATTTTTCCTTATCCGGACTACCTTCATCCCCAATCAGTCCGGATAGTCGAGGTTCTACTGTATTTAGAGGAACCATTAATGGTCCCCTTACCCTAATCGCTTAATTATTTAACTACTTCTTAAGTAGAAATAAGTCGAAACCAGTTACTTTGTACTCGAATATTTGTAGTCTCGGGAAAAAGTGGAAAGACAAGTTTTTATGACAAACGAATATATAAATCGTAAATGTAAGGAAAATAAATTCTAGAGCTTTTTCTGTACCTCGTGCATCTCTCTCATTCATTAATTATCTCAGATTTAGTTGTAAATGATGCTGTCAAAGTAACAGTTAATTTTTTAACATTATACAAGAATTGTACATGTTTTTTTCTACATTCCCTAAGAGATGGGACATACGAAATCGTAATATCACTGGTTTAACATCGAAATCCGTGAGTAATATAAAATCGGAGAGCGGAATAAATATATCAAATATTTTAACGGATTTTTTAAAACTCCTGTTAACTATGCAGAAAACTATCATAAAAACATACAGGTAAATTCTTATCGGTTGGGTTAAATTATAAATCTACTCGCGATGCACGTAATCGGGCGAGGGCGGTCAAATATCTAGCAGGCGATCGGCTAACAGCCCGGAACCTGTCCCGGATAGAATTGGATGCGTTATACGTGTAGCAGCCACCCAAGGTCCTAGGCTTCCACCGGCTAAACCGGGTGAGGTTGATGCTCTGTAAAGCGCATGCGCAAATCTGGCTTTTTTGATGCTGGCAATAGAGCGCTTCCACTCCGCCACTAATATTCGAATATACAATAGCAATCTTATCTTTTTTTTCACGTGTAGTATAGAAATTTGTAATAAGATACATAATGCGGTTATAATAAAATATTGTGCGATTATTTTCATATAATTAAAATTAATATGTATTTATTTTTTAGAAAATACAAGGGAACGGCGCATCCACAGCTTCTAATGACGGCACGCCACTGCTAAAAGGCCTTCCGTTTCCTCATTAGACAGATTTTCTGTTTATAATAGTATTTCACGTAAAAAATTGCTTGGATAGGTAATTTATTTTCCGTTTCAAGTGCTTCCGTTTTAGACAAGTTTTACAGTACTTATCTTCACATTTTTACAGTTTCTTTATTGTGAGATTATTTTAAACAGGATTATCGACAATATTTTAAATTCAATGATAGGAAATGATTTAAATAGAACCTATATTCCAAATGTTCACAAATAATTCCAGAATAACTTTTGAAGTGCATATTTAATCAACTTTAAATTAGTGCTGATTTTATCATTTATATAAAATGTTCTTCCAATAAATAATTGAAAAACTTAAATGAAGCGTCTGTAAATAACTAAGATTGAAATTGGCGTTGTATTCATTTTTCTTCTGCAAAACAAGTTCTTGTTTTCTATTAAAAATGTTATCTCACATATTACCCCATTAGATGCCAATTTTAAAAAATAAACACGTAGCATTGGTGAGCTGCCAACATCAATTATAGAAGGCAACGTATCAACGACCGTGAGCTACTAGAGTGAGATCATTTCTGCAAAATACAATTACCAGCAAACAGTAACAACGTATCGTTGACATATCGTATCGTTAAAATATACATTAACGATAATTATCGCTTAATGTAGAGGCTTTTTTGTATAATTTTAACAGCACCGAAGAGGGGTTGGAATATAAGCCAACCCGAAATGCATCTGAATTAAAAATTTTTAAATAAAACGTAACGTTTTCTAACCAATTGCTGTTCGTTCGTCTACCAATCATCTTTTTGGATTACAAAGACGCTACACACTGCATTTGATGATACAGCAACCACGTCCTCTACATTAAGAAATAATTTGATAAATTTATGGCCGCCTGAATGGCCGAAACCGCTAAGGCGTGAAAGTGTCATATTCGGGTAAAAGGTCAATCAGGTTGCTGTGTCACATTCGGTGGAAAGTCGAAATCCACGAAGGAAAGCTTAGGCAGAAAAAGGGATTATGTTTTCCAGTAGCAGAACAACCTTTTCCACCAAGGCCTTTTACCATTTCTTTGAACTATTTTCTATCCAGTCTCGTCTCACCTGACCGTGTTTCCACCGTCCATTTCGAAACTTTGGGGTATCGCCGCCTCNTTTTTTTTTTTTTTTTTTTTTTTAGAAATGGAATTCGTTAAATGTTTTTTTATTAATAAAAAGCAGTTTAAAAGATTTTAATTTATTTTAGTAAAAATAATTTAATTTATAGTATAAGACGTGGGGACTTTTTCCCTTAAGTTATCTTTAAGTCTATCTATTGAGTCTATCTTATTAACTATCAGGAGGGAAAACCCCCGTCTCGATAGTCCTGGATAGCATTCAAATAACAAACAGAATTAAAAGTGATAAAGAAACATTTTACTAGTCGTAAGCTGAATTTAGACTTATTTTGATCTTAAATGTATATGATTAATATCTTATACATTTAAAATTAATAGTTTAAATTTAAACAATAAATTTAAAATAATGATGCCTTAAACTGTATTTAAATTAGTTTATGGCTGTGAATGATCGTTCTCATGGAAAGAACTTCAATAGTCTACCATCGAGTTAAACCAATGGAACTTTATATGCTTAACATGACGATTGCATATGATATAGCCTAGACTTATATAAACTCAAACTATGTGTTAGAAAGCAGCTTTAAATACACCCGGAAGTTATGTTATAGATTTTATCAAAGCTCTTGAATTCGAATATTAACATTTAAGAACTCAAAATTTAATTCAGGATGAGCTTTATGTTATGGCATCATCACAGCTCTAATAATAAATAAATGAATACTGTATTATAAAATTAAGATAAAATAAATAAAATTGGGTTTTTTTCTAGTATGTTTAATATAGTAGAAGCAAACTTTTCTATTGCCTGTATCTTTAAACGTTTTAAAAATACGGGCAATAAGTAAACTTTAATTGTTATTATAAATATTATAGTTAAATAAATATTATAAATGAACTTTAATTATATAAATAAATTTTAAGTAAATTTCAATAAAAATTATTTAGAAAAAATACATAAATGAGATTTAAGTTTTGTAGATAAATATTGTGTACAGTATTTGAATACAATAGATAAGATATTTACTGCATTTGTTTTCAGATTTTGACCTAATAGTTTTTTTTTTTTTTTTACTTTAATTTTATTGTACTGTTCGTACCGTATTCAGCGATAAACCGACATTTTTGGTACCGAGAAGCTTGTAATGTTATAGCAATCCCTTCACAACCATCAACAATAGGGCAAAACATCTAAAAATAGTTGCTTCTGGCCCCTCTGGGATCAGGGATCCCGAAGCTTCGTTAATTTCAGAGTAGATATGCCACTGACTGTACTGTACAGTTTTTTGTTAACTATGATATAAAAATTGAATTTATTTTTTCAATCAAGTTGTTAATTCTTGAATGTTTAATCTTATATTATTAAAATATTTATTTTGTGATATAACAATTTATGGTTAGTGATATTAATGTTAACAATATATCGTAAATCAATGTAAATTATAATGTAGCGATTACAAAATGCTTTAGCACAATGCAATCACTTAAAATGCTTACTTAAAAGTATTTAATAATATACAATTGAGATAAGATAAGATCATTAATTTCATCATAATTAAAAGAAATTAAACAAAAATGAATTGAAAATTTATTTACTTTTTTTTAACATTCTAAGTTTTTCTTTCTTTATAAATTGAATTTTATTTCTTTATTAAATCTTAATTTTTAATATTTAGAAGCTTAAACAATTACTTCTTAATCCGTTGTTTTCATATACACTATACTATATATATACAGTATATAATTTATTTGTTTCGTATTATTTGATTATTTGTGTACCTTCCATTAGATAGATCTATGATAAAAGTGAACATATTTAATAAATTATCTGAAAATAATATATTTTAGATGTTAATATTTTAAAGTTTCAAGGATTTAATTTGTAATTATAATTTATATATATACTGTATAAATCTTTAACAGGGCCTCTACAGGTCTCGAGAAGCGCCAGATTATTAAAAACATACAAAATGGCATTAAAGAATTGTATCGTATTTTTTAAGTAATAAAATCTGACAAAAAATAAAGAGCTTTTCTTAATACGTAAGAAATGCAATGGTAATTTTTAACAAAGATTTTTGAGGTACCACAATTGTGAGCCCTAGTGGTCTCTCCATAGAGCCTCACTATTGTGGCGACCCGAAAACACACTCTATAGGATATAGGGCCTCACTCGGTTGTTTAGGAAGTGGAGTATGTTTATAAATACTTTTTATTCACGAAATTGGGGGTAACATCACTGCTCCCTTAATCCACTTAACAAATTACAATTGATGACGTAACTGAATTATAAATTATAAAACTATTTTGAGATTCGTTAATGATTAACGTCACGAACTCTGTACTGAATACATGTCTAGAAATAACAAATTCTAAAAGTAGAACTATAAAGAAGGAAAATGATAATGATAAAAAAAATAAAAAGAGTAATATACGAAATGCACTTCGTAAATATGCAATATCAATGTCGTTAGATGTCATTAGAAAGAATTCATAACTGTAAACATGTTCGAGAAGTGCGCAAATACGAAAAAAAAAAAAGATGGGGTCGTCAATAGCTAAACGTGTTCACCATCACGCCTTCTAAATTACTCATGCCGCCGTCACACCCGTAGCACGTGTATCCCTAGCTGTGTATCACGCGGCGATCATATGATCAGTTGCATCCGATTGGTCGCCTCAGACGTGCCCACGCTTTCCGTTGTCGTTGATTGGTAGTGACGTAAGTGATCCACATGATTTTGTTTTGATTCAATCAACACACCCATCGTCCTTATGGTTGGGTATAAAAGGAAGTTGCGAAGAATTTTAAGGTTTTTATTTTGTTTTAAGATCTTTTCTGATCAACGTCTCGTTCCATGGTGCTAAACATGTCTACTGTCTTTTCACCTCTTACACCACCGCATATTTATCCTGTAAGTATTAAATGCAGTCAGAAAATGGAAAATAAAACCATCAAATTTGACTCCCTTGCTTTATTTTTATATATATATTTCTGGTAGAAGTTACTTTTAGGTAATGTTTATATACATACAACAGATACAAATTACTTAAAAGTAACTTCTACTATACTTTCTTTTCTATGTGTATAAAAAATGTGTAAATGTCCTAGACTTTTATGTTTTTAGATATAGAATTAGTTATTAAGCTTTATTAATAATTACATATATAAAAAAATACAGAAAAATAAATTTGGCATTTAATAATAACCAAAAAAAGGAAAAAAACTGTATTAAGAGTTGATTTGAACTCTCAAAAATTGATTACATTGGATTTATAATTGAAGGTTTTCAACTGTTTAACATGTAAAAAGTTGCACTTTGATACATGTTGTGAAACATAAACAATCCTGTGACTACTGATAAAATATTCTCTACCTTATATATATATATTTAGCTGTAGATTAATCAAAATAATCTTTTAACTGATATCAATTCAGCACAAATGATAAATATTTTTTGTATAAAGTTCTTCAATTTTAAATAGAACAGATACCTGGAGCATCGGATACTAAAATAATTCTTAATTTTTATTAGTTTATTTTAAAAACTCGACAAATTTGAATCTCTTGAATTTTCATAAACAATTTTATTTCAGTTTTGAAAGAAATTCTTTGGCATTTTTATTGCTTTTGAAAATATTCTTTGGTTTTAAATAGTACAGATTATGTACGTCATTAGGGATTGAATGTAATTTGGGTTTAAATTTGAATGATTCATATTAATTAATTAATTTTTTAAATCTAAAAATCTAATAAATGATATGGTTGTTTATAAATTTGTATTGTGCTTTATTTATTTGAACATAATTATTAGAAATTCATTAGCATTTTATTGCTTCTTTAAAATATTTTAAACAGAACAAATTATTCGTAAGTTGAAACTTTTTAATGGCTACATNTATTTAGCTGTAGATTAATCAAAATAATCTTTTAACTGATATCAATTCAGCACAAATGATAAATATTTTTTGTATAAAGTTCTTCAATTTTAAATAGAACAGATACCTGGAGCATCGGATACTAAAATAATTCTTAATTTTTATTAGTTTATTTTAAAAACTCGACAAATTTGAATCTCTTGAATTTTCATAAACAATTTTATTTCAGTTTTGAAAGAAATTCTTTGGCATTTTTATTGCTTTTGAAAATATTCTTTGGTTTTAAATAGTACAGATTATGTACGTCATTAGGGATTGAATGTAATTTGGGTTTAAATTTGAATGATTCATATTAATTAATTAATTTTTTAAATCTAAAAATCTAATAAATGATATGGTTGTTTATAAATTTGTATTGTGCTTTATTTATTTGAACATAATTATTAGAAATTCATTAGCATTTTATTGCTTCTTTAAAATATTTTAAACAGAACAAATTATTCGTAAGTTGAAACTTTTTAATGGCTACATTACCGCTATGTATTTATTATGTATCGAGCTGCCTAAGGACTGTGCATTGACAATAGGGCAACTAGAGGGTAATTGGGCTTGGGGAAAAAACATATTCGAGACTCTATAGAAAATTAAATCGTCACAGTAAAGAAATTAAATGAAAAACAGTTCAAATATTATTTTTTTATTTATTTACTTTGTATAGCAGTATATACTTGCTTGGAGCCTGGGGCAATTTGCTTCTTTTGCTCTCCTTGGTTCACAAATAAAAAATTGAAATTAACTAAGAAAAATTCCTTCCTTCATAGTAGATTGACTTAACACCTAGCAACAACTACATGTTTGGATTTTAAATTTTTTTTGGCCTGATGACACTATAAACTTGAAAGTATTTGCCATTACTTAAATTTTGTAAATGTTGTTTTACTCCATTAAAATAATTTTGATTTTTGTTAGTCTGAGATTTTAAAGTTTGTTATTTATGAAAAAATTATGTTAACATAAGCATCTAATTTAATTTAGGTTTAAATTTATTAAAAAATCAAATAAATGAAACAATTATTTGGATTTTTATAAATAATTTAATGTATTTAAAAAAAACAAAATTCTTAGAGCACTTTTATTGTTTTTGAAAATGTTTCTGAATTTTTATTAGATCCTTTATCATGAAAATTCAATGAAATTTTGTTTTTAGTATAAATAGTTCTTTAATTTTTTTTAATATTTCAAAATGTCTGTTAGAAATTGATAGTAAAAATTTTCATTTTATTAATTATTTAAGAAATTAAATGAAGAAAAGATATTTTAAAAGGTAATCTGTTAATAATTATTTTTCTATGTTAAAATTTTATAAATTGTCAACTGTGTGTTTTGAAAATATCAGTTGTTGTTAATCCTTATCAGAGGTCAAAAACATGTGGAATTTTGAGGATATGTAAAGCTATTTATTCTATATCTTTGATTATTTAATAAAAATTAAAGTGAAATGCCATTTTCTAATTAAAAAAAAAAATATATTTTTTTAAAATTATAGTATTTTTGTGCAGATTACCTACAGGTTATCTGTATTTAAAGAGTTTGAAAGAAAATGTGAGTTATATGATGGGATGAGTTTTATGCCAATTTTAAACTGCAGTTACAACAAATATGTGTAGTCTTCAACCTATATCTGGCGTGAAAATTCCAAACTAATATTGGCAAACGCTTTCGATGTCCCTCCTGGGCTCTTCTTCAGGCCAAATTTAATGCACTGGATTCTTAAATTGAATATTTTTAAATAAAAACGTGCTCTGTTACCAGAAGTTCAAATAAGGAAGGTAATCACTTGCCTTTCCGAATTATAATATTACACATATTTGTTGTATATGACCTGGGAGAAATCCTTGATTAACTGCAATTACAAACTTGCACCTATGGAGTAACAGTTTTTCTGTAGATGTGGAATATATAGTGGGGCAGGTTAAATTGCCAAGTGGTTAGGATTGCAGCTCACAGCCCTGGAGGCCCTCGATTGAATATAGATGGGTCAGAAACACCAGGAATTTTTTTGGGAGGTGTTTTCCTTGGAAATGTAAAGTCCCATCCCTCACCACCCAGCAGCTTCACTGTGGGCCTGCCAATCCCATAATGAGCTTGCTAAAAAGATTCTCTTAGTGCCCACAGGGCAGAAAAGTTAAAAAAGAGTTAAATAAAAATAAACAAATATTTTACTTTTATTGTAGTAAAAGTCTACAGTATATAAGCACAAAAATATAGTAATTTTTCTTATGAGAATATGTAATTAAAAGAAATCAACCTGAAAGTGTAATGAAATTACAAATTAACTTATAGCTTTTACTATGGAAAAAATTAAAATGAACCCTGTTTTCAAGGACCTTGGAAATCAAATAGTTTTGTAAAACAGTAGATGATATATTAAGCACATTGTTATTTAATTTTATAAAAATAAAAACACTTACTTTAGCTTATAAAACAGAAAAAACACATTATTATTTACTTTTTTATTCTTCAGTATATGATAGAAGTTGTTAAATGTTCAGTTCAATCTGTTGATATTTTTTTATTTGTTTAAATTTAAAAGTTGAATATTTTTCAGGATGAACCAATTAAATCAACAAGTAATAGTCATCAGTTGGGACGTATGGATTTTGATGCTGTAGAAACTCTTCTATCAATTGGTCAGCAACCAAATCAGTTTGATCTTGAATGTAGAAACAACTGCCACAAATCTGTAACTGTGATAACTCCACCACATTCAGAAGATGAGCTAGAAGAATCCTTGCAGAATTGCGAAAAGAATTCAGAATTGGCAAGGGTATGAAATGATACAATAACTTGTAATCTTAAAATAAATGCTTTCTACATTATGATTTCTAGAGATAAATAATAAAAAATGGAGGATGTTAAGATGATTAGATAAGAAAATATATTAGATAAATTTTTACAGAAAAAATTATTTATTTCAGCTGATGTAATTTAAAATCATAAAACTTAGTAATATAATAACAGACTATTTAGAATTAGAACTTTTGTTAATCAGAATAGTAGTATAATGTTCAAAATACTAAATTTGAATTCTTTGAAAGTTTATTGCACATATGTACCTGAATATTGATTCAGGTACATATGAATGACCATAAATGAATAAAAATAGGTTTTTATTAATTGATGCATTAATAATTTTTATTACTAAAATCTGTTTACAAATAGTTGGTTATATATCATTATTTTCTTGGCACAAGATCCTATCAGACTAAACTACATCAAACATCAATAAAAAGATAATGAGTAAACTTACAATAAATAGATAAACAATAGATTTGCTTTATACCTTGATTTAGCAATTTTTCATGATATAATGAAAGAAGGGAGTCTTGACTATTCTCCTATAAGAATAATGCCATTTTATTATTAATGAACAACCCTGTAAATGATAGAATCTCATAATGTCTTTTAAAACACTAAATCAAGAAATCTGAGAGGAAAAACAAACTTTTCTTCTTAGGTAAAAACATGCCTTAATGTTTAAGAAAACGTTTTTTAAGTCAAAATAATATTTATTGCATTTAAAAATACTGTATAAATATAGTTTTGTTAATGAATTAATGGAAAAAATTATAATACGTAAATATATTCTTCCAAGACATGATGATAGTAATACTAATTCCAGTAAGAATAATAATAGTGTGCTGTTCGTTCGTCTACCAATCATCTTTTTGGATTACAAAGACGCTACACACTGCATTTGATAATTATCGCGTTTAAATAACTTAGCTAGACAAATTAGATAGAAATAATTTAAAAGTTATAAATATATTTAACTTTTTTGTATGATGATTGTATATTATCTGGCTGTTTATTGTTTAAACTGCCATTCGTTTTGTTTCGAAACTGTAATTAAGTGATGAAATGAATAAAGTGTTTAATCCTGTTTAAATCCATAGATTTATATTAAAATTAACTCCTTTGTGTCAGTATATTTTATATGAAATTGATTATTCGAGTGTCAAAAATTGCACTTGAAATTCGATTTTTGTAGCAGCATTGAGCTTCCTGCGATCTATCTGTTTCGTTTTATATCGATGAAATGGAATTCGAATCCCTCAAGACAACCTCAGAACCGTCAGGAACTTGTATGGGATTCAAGGTGCAACGGGCCCTTTTTATCATTCTTGTTTTTTTTTTTTTTTTTTTAGAAATGGAATTCGTTAAATGTTTTTTTATTAATAAAAAGCAGTTTAAAAGATTTTAATTTATTTTAGTAAAAATAATTTAATTTATAGTATAAGACGTGGGGACTTTTTCCCTTAAGTTATCTTTAAGTCTATCTATTGAGTCTATCTTATTAACTATCAGGAGGGAAAACCCCCGTCTCGATAGTCCTGGATAGCATTCAAATAACAAACAGAATTAAAAGTGATAAAGAAACATTTTACTAGTCGTAAGCTGAATTTAGACTTATTTTGATCTTAAATGTATATGATTAATATCTTATACATTTAAAATTAATAGTTTAAATTTAAACAATAAATTTAAAATAATGATGCCTTAAACTGTATTTAAATTAGTTTATGGCTGTGAATGATCGTTCTCATGGAAAGAACTTCAATAGTCTACCATCGAGTTAAACCAATGGAACTTTATATGCTTAACATGACGATTGCATATGATATAGCCTAGACTTATATAAACTCAAACTATGTGTTAGAAAGCAGCTTTAAATACACCCGGAAGTTATGTTATAGATTTTATCAAAGCTCTTGAATTCGANGTAGGTAATCTCTGTCAATATTAATCACATCTTACTGCAAATTTTCAAACCCATGAGCATAGAATGATTGGAGTTTTTCTTTGAAGAAAGTTTTGAGCATCTGGTATTGCCATTAAACTGAATATTGACAGAATGAGGTTCTACAAGACACAAAATGGATGGGAGTCAGTTGGTGCCAAGTCTGGGCTGTAAGGTGAATGAGGCAGAAATTCCAGTCCAAATTGGCCAGCTAAGGTCATCTTTGCTCTAAATGCTGGTGTGTTGTGGAATGATATTGGACTTTATCAATTTTCAGATGGAGTTCTTTCATGACAGTGATATTGGATGGAAGCAGCTTGATTTTGATGACATCAACAAATGCAGATCATTGCCTTCTGCACTATCAACCATTTGACATTTGCGACAGCTGGTTGACCTTTTTTTTTTTTACCCACAAATGCTTTGCAGATGAGATCATTTTGTTGCATTGTAGTCACTTTTGAAGTGATAGAGCAACAGCATGCAAATATGTTCTTTCAAAAGTTTTATATTGTCAGACATTGCTGATGTGTAAATTTCTAATGAAATATGTGATCAAATGCCCTTTGGTTACTCTATTTATATATCCACATTAAATGTTCTAAAACATCTTTTCCAATCATTTCTAGAAAAAATTGAAATATCTTTACAAATTAGAACTAAACACCATATGTACAGTTTTCCAGCAAAAAAATATGTATTGGAATCAATTAAAAACAGAACATTAGCAGAGATTCTAAGCCAAAAACATTTTATTTTTTAATTGATTCCCATATATATTTGCTGAATAACTGTATATGGTGTTTAGTTTTAATTTGTGTAAGTTCCTGCTTTTGGAGAATTCTTTAGTTCATCTTTACAACCTGATTGAAACTTAAAAACTATCTTTTAAAATTATGAGTGTTTTACTTATTTAGGCACAAAGTTCTTTGACAATAACTGAAATCTGTCCACTAAAATTGAAAGAAAATGGAAATTTTTAATATATTGATCATTCATTATAACGCCAGTTTTTGACAGCTAAAAATTGAGATTGCTAAAAATAAGTTTATTATAAAGTCAAAACATGCAAAAGTTATTGAAGAACAACTTACATAATATATATATATATATATATATATATAGGATCTTCCGAAAAGAATGCTATCATTTTAAATTACTGTAATTATGTTAATTAATACCTAAGAAGTATGCAATGTACATCAATCAATAGAGTAGCTTAAATGCCCAAGTTTCATCTTCATTTGCATACAAACATCTTTTTGTCTATTGTCTCTAGGAAGTGCCAAAAACAAAAATGGCAACTTCACAACAATGAAGGCATTGTGTTCTGCAGTCCACAGGCTCTGAATCATTCATCATCATTGTGCAACAAAGAATGTTTGCCTTACATGGTAGATAACTTTGAAATGTTTTGCAGACAATTTCAAAATGGAAAAGAATAAAAATTGTAGAGCACTTTTAGATATAGGATGATTCAAAACTGATGCTCATTAAATACTTTAAATAATGTTTGGCTTTGCTTTTTTATGTATAGTCTAATATTAATAGATCATAGGGAAAAATATTGTTATTATTAGACATTTGACTTTATAATCTTCATTGGAAGGCAACTACTATTATGTAGAATACACAATTTAAACTTGCAAAATGAAATGAGGAATATTAAAAGCAGATGAATGTAGACTGATTTTATTGCAATGAATATTTGTTTCATAGGAAAATTATAGTCTATACAAATAAGAATTATTAGAATTATAAGCATTGTTTCTGTCACATTAACAGTTATGTTTACACAAGAGGTCCCAAACTTTTTTGTCTTGTAGTCCACGTGCCAATTTTTTCTGTTTTGAGTAGACCTCCCACATTTCTAATATTGAATTGTTACAAATTCATCAACTTTAAACGTGTTTTTGACAGCTGACACAGTGCTACTCACTTTGATAGGTTTAACTGTAGAGTGAAAAAGTTAAAAAAAAAAAAATAATAACACATGTTAAGTTTTATACATTTATTAATTAAAACAACACAAAATGCAAATCTAGTAAAATTATAACAAAATAACTACACAAAAAATAAATGCTTTTAATGGGAAGGATTAGTCTGATCTTTAATAGCAAATTTTCAATATTTGGCTTCAATTTAGTGAGCTGTAACCTTAAATCTCCTCGATTGGTGATTTCTAATCTGTTTCTTTTGTTTTTTTGTAAGAAGATTGGCAATTGTGCTGAAACTCCTTTCCATGAGGTTTGAAGATGGAAAAGCTATCAAAAACTTTCTCACTATAGTCCATAATGCAGGATAAGTAATAGGTAACGTCTCTCTGAAGCCAAAATTGCTGCTATCCCTTTCTGAACTGTATCTTCCTTAAGTTCTTCGTTAGAGCTTATTCTGATTAATTCTTCTTATAATATGACATCCATTTCTTCAATGTCACTGTATGGATCAATAATCCATTGTGGCATTTCCATAGTCAAAACATCCTCAAACCTAGTTTCAAAGTCTGTGTGAAGCATATTTAAATGTTGAACATAGGTTGAAACATCATCATCCTGGCAGTTTGTCTGTGACAAATTGGGAAACTGGGAAAATTTATGCCGTCCAATATTTTGCTTCATTACCTCAAGTTATGATTGGCGTATCTATGCAATCAGAGGAACTACAAAAAAATAATTTACTTACTTTTCTCTGGCACTCCCAAACAAGATGACATTGATTCACTTTAACTTGTATGTACCTAACTATCTATTTATATTTTTTAAAATATTTGCTTAACACTTTTCTTTTCAAAATTCCAAAATCAAATGAACAGTGTTTGTCTCTGACATTCATATTTATAATTGACGAATTAAACAAGTCCATACAAGTACAATTGGTACAAGTCTGCGCCATCCTTGCAAAGCTCTGGTACAAGTCTGGACAAGTTTTGTTACTTCACGTATGCACACAATATCAATATTGATACTAGTATCAACTATGCAAGTTTTTACAAGTTACAAGTGTTGCGACCACAGAGTGAATAGCCTACTTGCACAATTTTATGAAGTACACTTGATTAATATGTAATTGAGTGTATTAAATAAAATAATTGTTTAATATGAAATTTATAATAATTCTTAAACAGTTTGATATATAAGAAAATAATAACTTAAATTTCAATAACAAAAGTATAACAATAATTTTATAAGTAAAACAAAATAGGTTGATTGAACTCAAGAGAATATTCCAACAATTAGCATTAATTAAAATTCAAAGCAATTAAGTTGTTGGTTTGACCCATTGACAAAGAATGATCCCATCATTGATCTCAAATTTTCCCATGATTAAAGCATGGAGTCATAAAGTTCCCCAAATCTAGCTCCAAATCTTCATCATGTTTCATAAACATTTATGTTTTAAAAATTTTTACTTCATAGGTAATTTATATGTCTATTTTAAGAAAGTACAGTAATACCCCGAACTTACGCGATAGGTGGGACCGAGCGATAACCGCGTAAGTCAGGGTATAATTTCTCAATGTGTGTAAAATCCAAGTATGTAAGCTAAATAAATGTTCTCGTTAATCTTATCTCGTCTTTCGATTTGTTCATTGTTACAAGAAATCACCACATAGAATCTCTCGAGTCTCTGTAGATATAACAAATACAGAAATAAATTGTAGCTATGTGTCGATTCCGCACGACACGTCTGAACATGTAAGTTGAATAATAGTGTGGGGAAGTGAGTAATCAAGAGTTGTGTGACACTCAAACAAAAGATGAATTGACGAGATTTGAAAATCGTGTAACTCTGGGTTCGCGTAAGTCGGGGTAGCGTAAGTCAAGGTATTACTGTATATGCAAGTACATAGGCACTATTTGTGTTATATGAATTATTCCATTTATGGAAAGCCAAAATTTTGGTCACGACCTGCTCAAATGGGATCCATTCTCGTGGACCCCCATTTACATTTCATGCACCCTCCATTTTTGTTTTCACTGACATGAACCCCTTGCAGTTCAAAGTCTCTATTGACCCCTAGTGTCATGTATTCCCAGAGTGGTCTCTATTGACCCTCCTAGGGGTCAATAGAGACCACTTTGGGAATACATGATACAGGTTAAAGATTCATTCAGTCTTTAGATTTGTATTAAACTTTAGTCATCCAATTTAGATTAGAATTGAATTTAGTCATTGGTTTAGACCAGGGCTTCTTAAACTATGGGTTGCGACCCCAAATGGGGTCGCTTAGCGAAATCTTGGGGTTGCGAGATTTTAATGCAAAATATTGAAAATAATTTGTGAGAGTTTGAAAATGGCACACTTTGTGTCATAGGTTTTGTGAGTTGCACTTTGTGTCACTTCTGGTGCAGCGAGACAATGATTCAGCAACAATGTAGTGTGAACTAGTGTAGTGTTGTCGCTTTTCAGTGTATTCAGTTGTCTCTTCCATTGTATCACAAGAGTGAACTATGGTAGTACACCATTATTGTTTTTGCAAATTTGTATATATCTTTATTTTATATTTTTTGGGGTCTTGAAAAAAATTACAATCATAAATGGGGTCGTGAATAAAAAAAATTTAAGAAGCCTTGGTTTAGACTAAATAGTTACTGAAAAATGATATCTTATCATTGAATATTTGGATACATAAAGATTGCTTATATTTTCAGGATTTAGCTAAAATATTTTTATTGTGAAGTGAAACATTTGAATTTAATTTCATTTATTTTGAATCAAATTGTTCACTTTTGTTTGGTTGATTTTTTTGGAGAGATTCTTGTTTATGATATCATTTAATTTAATAGAATTGAATAAATCATAATATTTTTATGAAACATTCAACATAAACATGTTGATTTTCTGATATTTTTAGTTATGATACAATATGAATTGTCCCATATCAGAATAATTTGAGACTCATACTTGAACTTATATCAGGAAAGTTGAAATATCCAATTAATTTCCTCCTTTATTTATAATGTCATTTCAGAGAACTATTTAGAAAGTGACTCATTGCCTTTTTTTATTGTTGTAAAGTAAAATTTGACAATTAAAATAATTATACACTTAAAACAATAGTTTTACGCAACAAAGAATGTTTGCCTTACATGGTAGATAACTTTGAAATGTTTTGCAGACAATTTCAAAATGGAAAAGAATAAAAATTGTAGAGCACTTTTAGATATAGGATGATTCAAAACTGATGCTCATTAAATACTTTAAATAATGTTTGGCTTTGCTTTTTTATGTATAGTCTAATATTAATAGATCATAGGGAAAAATATTGTTATTATTAGACATTTGACTTTATAATCTTCATTGGAAGGCAACTACTATTATGTAGAATACACAATTTAANCAATATAAATGGAAAAAAAATATTATATGGAATTGAACGAAAATGAAAATTTGCTTGATAATTCAACTACGCTTGTTGGAGAACAATAAAAACACTACACTCAACAAGCCACCAATAAAACTCAACTGCCTAACCTATAACCAAAGTCTCCTTTTAATTTGTTTTAAAAAAAAAGCGCTTGACAAACTTGCCCCGCACGCCGAAGTTACCCCGGTCTCCCCTATATATATGGGTTACAATATCGTTTTTTAACAAAATACATTTTTCAGAATTATTTTGATATTCAGTATAATTAATAAAGTGAATATTTTTCATTGCAGTTGCTTTTAACAAACACTCCTCCACCAACTCCAAATCCTCCAACTGCCATGCCAGTATCGGTAATAGTTCGTGGACCTAAAGCAGCCAATGTGCCAAGTTTTACAACTAGTAATTTGAAATCAGATGTACTTAAAATGACAAATTCTAATGAAAGAAATCAGTTGTCCGATGGTCCAAAAAACAAAAGTTTGCCTGTTTCATCAGTTAAACAATTCCATCTTCCAACCCGTCAATCAAGCAGAATTTCAACCATGAATATGCCCACTATAACAACAACTGCCCAGACGGGAGTTTCAGTGTCAGTTAGCACACAGACAACACCTGTCATGTCAATATTACAGAATCCTGTGGGAGAAGTAAATGCTTTATCAAATAGCAAACCTATTGCTATTGCTCCAAAAATATTTACTCCAGCCATCATTCCAGTCATACCTTCAGTACCTTCAAATGATTCGCAGACAATCATTCTTGCTCATATTCCCACATCTTCACCAACTCTATTGTCTGGAAGTAATTCATCTGTATTACAGTTTGTTGTTCCAACATCTCTTCCTCAAAATCAGGCAATACCTGTAGGAAAAGAAACCACTGCAACCAAACAGCGCTTACTCGCTCCAGCACCTCTTGTAATTACTGCTCCTATTAAATCATGCAATGCACCTCCAGATATCAGAAGAAGAGCTTATCAATGCAATTATCCTAACTGCTCAAAAACATACTACAAAAGTTCACATTTAAAAGCTCATATAAGAACTCATACTGGTATTTATCCATTTTATTTTAAAATTTTACACATGAAATTTTATTTACATTTAATTAAATAAATGTTAAAATTGTTTTTCTTTTATAGGTGAAAAGCCATTCATTTGTACATGGGATAACTGCAATCGTAAGTTTTCGAGATCAGACGAATTATCAAGGCATAAAAGAACTCACACAGGTGAAAAGAAATTTGTTTGTGCAATATGTGAGAGAAGATTTATGCGTAGTGATCATCTTGCAAAACATTTTAAACGTCACTCCAGTACCAAACTTGGAGGATGGCAATCAAATAAAAACAACGAAACATATTCAGTTGCCGAAGAAATGTCAAACGTTGATGCATTACCATCAACAGTTCAAGTGTTATTTTCTTCATCCATTTGAGCATTTTTATCTGAGGACTATATTTAGTTATGCAAAAGAAATTTTTTGAGCAAGAACATTTTTATTACTGACTTATAAATTAATCATTGGTAATGAAACCATACATGCCAACTCTTTTGGGTATTTTTTTTAGTAACAAATATATGAGATATTCATCACTCTAATTAATATATTGATCTAAAAACTACTTTTAATGTAAAATGGTTTATTCAAAAGTTGGATTGTTGAAATGTTTGTATTCAAATATTTATTTCATTATGTTCATTTGTATATAGAAAATCAGTTTACATAAAATTAATGAAAAAAGCATATTCAATTTAGTTGATTTTTAACATTTTAATAACTTTTATTTATTCTTGTAAGTTTTTGTTAAAAATTAGAATTGAAAATAATGAGAAGACAAAATATTCTGCTCTTTTTAAAGAAATTTTTTGAGTTTAAATCAGGGCTGTGGAGTCGAAGTCAGAGTCGTGGAGTTTTGGTGTTTTGGCCGGAATTGGAGTCGAAGTTGTCAAAAAATCTGCCAACTTCGACTCCCTTTTTACTTACAAACTTGTTATGTATATGAAACGGAGTCGGAGTCAGATGGTAAGGAAAAGTCGGAGTCGGTAGATTTTTTACGTGACTCCACAGCCCTGGTTTAAATTCAATTCAAACTGCTTTTCTTGGAGGAAAAATGTTAGAAAAGTTACATACAGGAACAGCTACATCACCAGGAGTCAACTTCAGGTTTTTTTCTCATGTTAACTCATGATCATGGCCAGAGGAAGGGAACTAGGAATTTTTTCTCATGCCCAGAGAAAAGAGGCCCATAAAGGTTCCTAACTTGATAAATGCTATTTTTACTAATAAATAATGAAATCTGTAAGACTGCTTTTTTCAGTTAAGTAATATTCTACATACAGTATTTCATTTAAAAAAAAAAAGAAAAATGAAAATGGTAAAAGAGCCCCTATTCAAGGCTCCATTCCAGCTCTCAATGCCTGTGCTTATGAAAGGCAGAAAATCTGAAAGTGCTGGGATTTTTCATTCCAGGAAAAGCAATTTAAATTGAATTTCTGTATTTTTTACACTGTTTAAAAAAATAGTCTTCAATAATAAATATATACAGTATCTATTGCTGCTATTTTAAACATTTTTATTCCATAATTGGAAAAGAATGTAGAATGTAGGGAAACCGGAAGGAATGGGAAAGACGATTTACATATGAAAGAGAGGTGAGGGAATTGGTTCGCTCCCTGTCCTACACTCAGACTGCGATAACACGTCAGTGTGAATACAGTACTTGGTTACCGAGATTTGCTTTGTCGTTGACCAATAAAACCTTGCGTCGTGATATTTTGATGAAATTACAAGTGTATCAACATTAAAACAATGAAAGTATCTATATATCTATACTACTATATAAAGAGATAACGTATTTTTCGTTTGTGACCACTAACCGTGAAAACTACTGAACCAATCGTTAGCAAACTTTAACTGTAGCATCTTTATGATCCCTGGAATGTTTACCATTAATCAAACCTACAGATTTTTTATTAATTAAATAAAAATGCAACGGAGTTTTGTCTATTTCTCTCTCTCCACTAGATGGCGACACACGCTGTCTATAAGAAAAGTCTATTATTGAAGTTTACTATTATATTTGACGAACTGACATTAAATTATAATTAGTTAATTAGCAAAATCTTCGAGGAATTAAAAAAGTGACGTCATCACGCTAGATGGCAGTATGTGTACTTATGGGGGATTTTCGAATCGTTTCTGCAAGTAATTGTACAAAATATTCGAAATAGTTATT